ATGATAAATATCAGCGTCTGCTTTTCAGAGAACTTTAGTAAGTTCTGAAAGAGTAAAGTTCAAATTCCTAAGCTTGAAATTCAAGGTGCTCCACAGCCTTGCCCCAGTCTACCTTCCCAGACTGGTCATCCACTATTATTACCTTTCATATTTCTACATTTAAGTGAAACTCCTCCAAATTTCCAGAAACCACCTGGGCCTTCTTGTCTCCATGCCTAATTCTAATGGGTAAATCCTTCCCATATCAACTTTCCCTCTCCCTTCTCTCTGCTTCCCATCCATCTTTATTTTGGAACTTATCAATGTTTCAAGTTGCACTGCCCCCATCGGTTTACAAGCAGGCAACATGCATTCACCCAGCTCCCACTATGAGCCCACATTTTTATCATCTGGGGATAGCACAGTGACCTAAACAGAAAAGTCTCATGCCATCCCTTTTCTCTCAAAGCATCCTGCCTCGGCTAGAAGTGGCATCTCCTCCTCTGGGCTCCTGCTAAGAGCTTTGTACCTTGATTTAGGGTTATTTACATATACTACTCACCTCCTCAAAGCATAAGCCCTTAGAGGGCAGCTTTATGATTTGCTCGTCTTGGAAAATCTAGTACAGTGTTTTATACATAATCACTTCATATATGGTCATAGGAGGCAACACGGGAGGGCAGAAGGTATCTGGACTCTGGGATGAGAAAATCTGACTTAAACTCACCTTTACTCAAACCACTAAAGCCTTAGTACTCACATCTACAAAATAGGGATACTACCATATATCTCTCTCAGGGAAAGCAAGCATCAAATAAAATAACATATGGAAATGTACTTTTTATTTTTTTATTTTTATTTATTTATTTTTTTGTGTGAGGAAGATTAGCCCTGAGCTAACATCCATTCCCAATCCTCCTCTTTTTGCTGAGGAAGATTCGTCCTGGGCTAACATCTGTGCCCATCTTCCTCTACTTTATATGGGATGCCACCACGGCATGGCTTGACAACCTGGGTTGGTCCGCGCCCAGGATCCAAACCTGTGAACCCTGGGCCACCGAAGTGGAGCATGCGAACTTAACCACTATGCCACTGGGCTGGCCCCTGGAAACGTACTTTTTAAATTATATCAAATATTTTTTTAGAATTATTCAATTGGTGCTAATGGAACACGAGTCCCTTGTAACTCCTCAGAGAAAGCAGCATCATATAAACCCAATGTGTTATTTTAGCAATCATAATTGCTTTTCAATGTCTCTACAAATAAGTTATGCCAAGAGACAGTGTTATTTTATTTGAAATATGCTAGTTGTGACAACAGGAATTCCTATGTTCTTCTTACTGGAGGAACTTAGGACTCTATAAACAACTTAAAAATAACAGAAGGTCATCTTCATTACATCCGTATGAAATGGAAAGAATCCATTAAAACAACAGCAGTTAACCTGCTGGCCCACCCAAATGGGGATGTTTCCATTTTTTAAAAAACCAAAGGTGGAGAAAGCAAGGAGGCAAAGCTCAGACTGCCACAAAAAAGTCATTATAATTAGAAATCTGCTTTATAGGAAATGCCACTTAACGTAAATATTCTGTTACATCACACCAATATCGCATTCATAAAAATGAGTTTATTCTAGAATCTCAGAATACTTCCTTTGGATATCATTCTTATTCAGGCCTCACTTTTAGAGTCACATTAAGAGGAAGTTATACTTAAGATTTCTTCAACTGAATACTCAAGAACAAAGACTATAAACTTAATAGTCATGAAAAATGCACCTGCTTCTCATATCTGAACAGCCCCGACTCACCAGAAATACCACTACAGAAGAAGCACAAAAGAAGGAATAACATCACCTCTCTGCCTGCTATAGAACCACCCTCTGCATACCTATTATTACCTGCATTGTGTGGATGAGTGACCTAGGCCCAAGAGGATATAGAGCCAGAACATGCTCGATGGCCATGATGAAGCCAGCACTCAAACCCAGGGCTGTTGGCCTCTCAGTTGCTTATTCTCTACATACCACCCAGCCTTTCCACAAAACCCAACTCCATGAGGTCTTCACTCTGTCCCTCCAACACATTGTGGTCAGACTTCAGGGAGTTAAGTAAACAGATGACATAAGTAGACCTAAGTTCTACTCCCGGGTAACTGGCTTACCGTGTAACTAAGGCAAACTCACTTAAGCCACTGTACTTAAGTTTCTTTATTTAAAAAATGGTGACAATAGTATCTGTTCTACTTCCTTCAAAAAAACTGTAAATCACCATGCAAATGTTCAAAATTATTTCTGCTGTTCCGATTATTAAAATGGATTATTTAATTAAGGAGACTTGACTAGGAAGTCTATATGGTTTTCCCTGTATTATTTTGACTCCTTGGAGCAGGGGTCAGCAAACTATGGCACTCAATCAAATTCGGCCCACCGACTGCTTTTGTAACACAGCCACACCCATTCTTGCACATACTGTCTGTGGCTGCTTTCACAACCATGACAGAGTTGAGGAGTTGTGACACGAACTGTATGGCCTGCAAGGTCTAAAATATTTACGATCTGGCCCATTAAAGAAAAATTTCGCCAGCCCCCACCTTTTATTGGCCTTAAATATCAGAGGCCAAAGAGAGTAGCTAACAAGTAACAACGAATTTTGCATTTTCCTCAAACTGTAGTATTTTCCATATATATCCTATTTGTCAAAAGATTTAACATATTGTAAAATATAGAGAGAGAGAAAACCAATAAATTAGAAAACCACTGTTTGTAAATAGTAAAGTTATATTAAATCAGGAAAGTCCACAAACATATCTTACATGTCTAAAAAATGAATTTCTAAAATTTTCGGTATTTCTGAAGAATCATAATCTGCAAGTTCTACAAAATTACCATTCTTCATTAAAAAAAATTTAAACTTGTCCCTCAAATTATACAATATTTGAATTAAAATGTAAAGAGGAGAGAGAAATAGCTCAGGATATATATACAATATTTCCCATGATTTCCACTGTGAAATTATTTATTACTATGCCCTCTCTCTCTCTTTTTTTTTTTTTTTTTTCTTTTTTGATTAAACTACTCTGCCAATCCTTTTGTGGCAGAGTTGAGTTCTGGTTTTGAAATTTTTTTGTAAATAAAGTTGCTCTCTTTTATATTTTGAATAGGTTACCTGTATTCTGTTCCTAAACATCTATCTGCTTAAATGCCAGACAGGAAAGTGTGTAGCGTGTTTTAACAAGCCAACTTCCTCTGTTTCTCAAAGCTTTCAAATATTTAGTTTCAAAATGAATACACTGTAAGCCAAAAAAATTACCACCCATCCGATTACTTTGTCATCCCTACTGTAAAGATTTATGAAAAATTCGAGGAGGAGGAGGAGGAGACGTTGCTGCTGACACAGGAGGAAAAGCAATGAGTGTAAGGGAGGCTATCAAGTAAAGCAAGAGTGGGAAAAAGCCACTAAGCCCAAAACAACCTACTGGGAATTGCCTTTTCCCTTCCCCTCCTTGTCTGTACCCTCCAAAAAAGCCAGAAAATAACATTACTTACTACGTATAAAAAGTTATAAGGTTTCAGAGATGGACTGAATTTTAGAGGTAATTAAATATAAGCCATTTATTTTATGGATGAGAAAAACTGAGGTCCAGAAATATTAACTGTCACACCCTGTGGATTAGCTAGTTAGTGGCAGGACCAGTACCGGAATCTAGTTTCCTGATCATCAGTTCAACACATTTCCTTTAGACTCGGCTCTCTGCCCCATTAAGCATAACATGCCATTTGGCACCTACTAGCTAAATTCTTTTAAAAATATGCCCGAAGTACCCCTATCACAGCCAGGAAATTCACAATACCCTTTTAAACAGTATCTATGGGCACACGTTTTTTCCAAGTACAGACCATCAAGAATACTGCTTTGACCTCCTGAGGATTAGAAGTCACAATAAAGCAGCAGAATAATCAAAGAGCTAATAAGAACTTCAAGCTGTTCTCTTGTAGTTTGTCTTGATGGAAATCAGTTTGAAAGAGACACTCCCTCTCCTACCCCCCCAGACACACACTCCCAAGACTAAACAGCAATATTCCATAAAAAGACCAGATCTAGCCAGTGTTATTATCTGTCTGACATTTGGGTTATTCTTGTGAGTAACTCATAAAGTAACGTGGGTGTCTGTGATTATTTGAGTACACTTGGCAAACCATAATTGGTCAAAAAATAATAAAAGACATTTTTCCGTGACAAAAATACTGTATTGCATGACAACATGGCAGTGTGACAGCACTCAGTGGACCGCAATACTTTCTCCATTTACAAAAAAGTAAAAAAGAAACAAAAACTTATTAAGTCTTTTTGCAGTCCGTAACTACTATAGTTCACATTTAAATTAATTACAGAAGATTAAAAGGTTTTGAGTGCTGACAGTAATCCAAAGTAATCCAGTAGCATATCTTCCCCCAAATCCATGTCATATATCAATTTATAATTCAGCCTTTTGATACAGAGCAGAAACGTGGCAAAATGCAAGTCTGTATCCCTTTCTACAATTGAAATACAGGTTTTTGACAATTTTTAGGAATTTTTTAGAACATGGCTATTTATGAAGTAAAAACTTAAACTTAATCACCACCATCCAAATTTTACAACATGAGTCAAACCTAACATAAATTCTACTGATCACTGAGCAGATAAAGTTTGAAGCTGATCGGTACTAGTTGTGCATTAGGGTCTTAATCTAAAACCTATTCCCTCTGTCCTACTGATACCTCCCCATCACCACGCAGCTGCACAAATGATAAGCAATAAGGGGCAATAACTCGAGTTGCCATTTCTCTGAGAAACCAAAAACCAGGTTAAAAATCATTCTGCAAGTAATTTAAAAGATCTCATGAAAGAAGCATATTCGGACTCATAGACAGAAACCCATTCAAGCAGAGAGCAGTGTGAATGGAGGGGGGTGTCTAAATGCTACGATCTCATAAGACTATTCAGTAAGGACAGTTAGGGACCGTGGAGGAACTCACCCACTCGGAAGTTCGTGGCCGTCAGGGTGTCGGCAGCATGACCATTCTCACTAATGAGAGTGGTGGTGTTCCCCTTCTCACAGCTGTTCTGACAGCTGCCCTTGGTGCAGGTCACTTTACAGATGCTCGGAGTAAAGACCACCTTGATACGGCCAGTGTGGTTACTCACTAGGAGTGGAGGCAGGGAGAAAAAGAACAACAAACATATCAGCTTAGTATCCATGAACTTGCCTTGGGAGGTTTAAAAAAAAAAAAAAGGAAAAAAAGAAAGGAAAAGAGCGAGAGGGGGAAAGAGAGAGCCCACAACCCGACAGGTTTAAGGAAAGAGGGAAGCCTTTAGTGCTCGCTGCTCTGTATCCAGTGGTGTCTCTGAAACAGGAGTAGGAAGCTTAGCAAACAGAACTCTGGGATGCACTCCAAAACCACATTTGAAGTCGAGTCACTGGAGTGGGATTACTAACCACAATGCTGCACTTTATTCACGGGCAGACAAAGAGCAGTACCGAGGGCACAGATGAAATAGCCAACCCTGACAGGCAGATGTAATGCAAAGAGGTTGGCCATGCACCTAGCGGTGAATAAACTCTTGTGTCCTCGACTTGCATACTTTCCCTGTTTCTCCACTTATTAAGTCACTATTTGCAGCCCGACCCCTGGAAATGTTTTAGGCATGCGGCATGTCTGAAAACATCTGTCTCAAATCTCCTGGCACTCTCAGCTGAAGTGATCAAATCCTGTGACGCAGCTGCAGGAGCCCATTTCTTTTTCACAACTCTGGGGCATTATTTCTCCACATAAATTTATGCAACATATATTTTGTTGTGCTGTGAACAGGGTCCATCTAAGAAGAAGCGAGGCCAGGTCACAAGGCTAAAGAGTTGCCCCTGTTAAAATGCCATCCTGGAGCTCTCACTGCTGCTATTCACAGGCCACCTCAGGAAGGTCTTTCATTCACATGGCCCTCTCCTAAAAACCAAATGCCATAACCTGACTGCACAGCAGAGGCAGCACGCTATCACAAAACAGGCACTAATCTAAAAGTCAGTTCTGGGTTGTAATCCTGGCTCAGTCATGGTGTGACTTTAAACATGTCATTTTACTTTTTCTCCAAAACATGAGATAATTGGAACTGATGTTTTCTAGCCTGTTCTAACTTTCAATGTCTATATCAGGGGTCAGCAAACTATAGCCCCATGATCAAATCTGACCCACAGCCTGCTTTTGTAAATAACGCTTTATTGGAACACAGCCACACTCATTCATTTATGTATTGTCTAAGCTTGCTTTTGCGCTCTAACAGCAGAGCTGCACAGAGAATGTATGGCCTCACCCAGAACTGCCCTTCACAGCTGGGTCCCAATCTAAACTCTCTGGCAAAGTGCAATACAGAACTCCTAGTTTGACTTCTACGTTTGTGATATGCCCCCAGCCAGGTCCTTCCTCTTTCCAGGAGCCTGGGCAGAAAGCAAAGGTGGAAGCAGCAGCTGAAGGGAGATGGTTCACCTTTGAGCTTTAAGGCAGGTAGAAAGCAGTGCCCTTCCTGGTGTCACTGTGTTACTGCAGTGGCCAAAGGGAAGAGTGGCTCAGGGTCAGCCTTTCTTCTGCCAGCCCCTGCTCACCAGCAGCCATTCTCCCCCTTCATACGGCTTTGGTTTGACCAAGACGATATTTTCAGAAAATCAATCAAGAGGTCTCTGTAGGCCCTCAACAAAATAAATTGTGGTCAACATCTGAGGTTGGAAACAAAAACCTTAACCAAAGAAGCCATTAGAATTTCAAGGTTGGAATGAGGCGTCAAAGGTCTTCCGACACAACTTCTGTCCGAACAGTTCTGGTGACAGAGAGCTCATTATCCACTAAGAAAGCCCATTCTAGTTATAGGCAGTTCCTAGCAAGTGCTATCCTTTTTTGAGCTGAAGTATGTCCTCAGTCAGTTATACCCATTAATCCTAATTCAGCTCCCATGGTCTCACAATCTAATGTCTCTTCCACAAGATAGCCCTTCAACTACTCAAAGATAACTGCCACATAAGCAAAGAAAGCTGAAGTTAGAAGGGACTTGAAGAGATCAGCTTGGGTTGGCCCTCTCACTTAACAAAAGAAAATAATTCCTCCAGAAGAGAAATACGCTCAGTTCTTTTCATATGTTTTTCCAAGACAGTTTCTTCTTCATCACTGGTTCTAACACAAGAGATCAGGACACAAAGTCTGAGCTGAGGAGATATCCTAGTGGCCAGTCAGGTCTTTCAGCACCTCGCAAAATGGCATCCAGAAACTTTTTCTATAAAGGGCCAAACAGTAAATATTTTAGCCTTGCAAGCCTAAAGAGCTCCCTTGCAACCATTCAATTCTGCTGTGGTAGCAGAAAAGCAGCCTATCAAAGACAGTATGGAAATGAATGGGCGTGGCTGTGTGCCAAGAAAACTTTATTTAAAGATACACAGTTTGCTGACCACTGCTTTCAATGTTTATATGACATTTTCAAGTTTTCTGGGACTATACCTCAGAAATTTTAAAAACTATAATAGAATGCCGATTCCACAATCAGACAAAATTCACCTAGTTTGATCTGTTGTTTTACAGTAGCAGAACTAGACAACTAGAGCTTAGGCTATAAGTTGTCAGACTACGCTTACAAATATCTAGAGAATACTTTGTGTGTGTGAAGCCGAAGAAAAGAGACAACATCGCCCCATTTCAAAAGAATATAAACTTGTATTTTTTCTGGCTCTTGGTACAATAATGAAATTAAAAATGGTGTGCCAACTATTTTGTCTTCTCTGGCATTAACTCATAGTACCAGCAGCTGCCATGCAGATGCTCATACCGTCACCTAAATTATGCTCACTTAGGCGAACTGAGACATCCAAAGAAAGCAAGCACTTCATCATTATTCCCATTTCACCTCCCAGCAACAGTAGTCACTTTATAGGCACTTGAGATTCCCCGGGCCTATTGTTTTTAAAAAACTTGTTATGTTCCTTCGCCAAAAAAAAGTCTTTGGCCTGGAATCATCTGGATTTTCAAAAGGCAAAGACAGTTTCATATGACTTAATTCTGATTTTTACAATGTTCACATCTTCTTGGAAGAAGAGGAGGCATTTTGTTTCATATTTCCCCATGTGTTTTACAAGCATTCTGCTATAAAGTAATCTAATTCTAAAACAGACACTTGTGGGCCGGCCCCGTGGCTTGGTGGTTAAGTGAGCGCGCTCCACTGCTGGCGACCCGGGTTCGGATCCCGGGCTCCCACCAGCGCGCTGCTTCTCCGGCCATGCTGAGGCCGCGTCCCACATACAGCAACTAGAGGGATGTGCAGCTATGACACACAGCTATCTACTGGGGCTTTGCGGGGAAAAAATAAATAAATAAAATCTTAAAACAGACACTTGTATTCTCAGCGGATCCTCTTGTGTCTTCATGAAGCAGTTATTTGTTCATTATAATTAGCTTTAGTTTTCCATGTCAATCTCAAAATCATTATCGAAAAACTCAACTGTTTTCAACTCTAGATTGTCATTCATAGCTCTAATAGGATCTCTGTAAACATTAAACAGATTAGAAAATACACTCTTCTATCTCCACTCCTATCACTTTCACACATCTAGGGTATCATATCAAGAGTCTGTTTTCAAGTATACAAAACTAAGGTAAGCAACTCTGAGTTTTGCATTCCTTACATGTGTCAAGCTGAAGACAATACCACTCATCTCTCAAGAGTTCAGTGGGAATTCAGCAACAATGCCCTTTCCTACAGAGGCCATTTGGTCTTTAAGAGGCATCTTTCTCAAAGGCCTTGAATAAATACTCAAGGACCCCTGGTGCCTTGCATAGAGTAGGCACCCAATAAAGGTGGAATGAGTGAAGTGACCCAAAGGATGACTGCACAACCCCCACAGAGACTCACAGGATCTTGGAGGTCATTCTGGTCTAAAGCCTTGCTTCACCACTGAGGAAACTAAAGCCCATGGTCCAATCAGTGGTAGAAGACCATCCCTAGTAGCACTTATTGGCTGACGAAGAATTACAAATCTGAGAAGTGCAAGTCAGGCCAGTCAAGAGTTAATACGGAAACTGTTGGCACAGCTTTCATGTTTGGTCCCTCTGATCAAAAAATGTAATTTTTAGATGCCCATAGGTAAATCAGCCCCAGAAATCTTAAGCAAGCACTTTCAAACCTTGGGTTTTAGAGGCCTTGGTTAGAAACATAAATTGCCTAGAGCCATGCAGCACCTCCACTGGGCCTCCTAGTCACTCAGTCAGTCAAGACACTCAAGAGTCAACATCCTGTCCACAGCTTCTGCCAGACCCTGTGTGAATTGATACCTTCAAGAAGAGGCACTGGCACATGGTTCAGAATAAACCACAGAGATTCAGAGTGAATGGAGAATGGGATGGAAGTGAAGCCGATACCCTCCCAATATAAAAAGCTCTCATTTCTGCGTCCCAATCATGACAGAGAAAAATTCAAAAATGTGAAAATTGTTCTTGACAAATGGACCTCAGTCTAGAAAAGAGCACAGTTGCCATCTTCCAGTCAATAGACTAAGATGTGACCAAAAGCAAAGGCAGCCAAAGAAATAAATATAATAAGTTCAAGACTCACATCAGATGTCATGAACAAGTACAGTCTCCTCCGCATTCATCCAGAATGCTGCGACAGCACATCAGCATTCATCCAACTTAAACAACAAGGACCAACTAGCACAGGCAATATCCTCTGGGAAGGAGAAGGAACCTCTCTGTGGTTAAAAGCCATCACCCTGCCCATTAACTGAGGCCTGTTTAAAGAGACCGCGGAACTGATTCAATACATAGGTCATGTGTGAGACAAAGTGAGCTAATAGCTCATTCTCCCACTTGCAGTCCATCGCTTGCCCGAAGGCCAAGAATTCTTTGAAGGATAAATCATACAAGTATTAAATAATGCTTAGAATAACAGGACTTGATTGTTCAGCTCTCTAGGCTTGCTTAACTCCTCCTGGACTATTAAAATAATGCCCATAGAATACTCTCTGTCTCTCAAGGTGCTACGTAAATAGAGATTAATATCAAATCTATTATTTCATCAGATTGCCCCAGTCATGGAAAACTCTCCAAGGAGGAAACTCAGATGAGATCTCTAGGGGCTGGCCCTATGGCTTAGCGATTCAGTGCACGCGTTCCGCTACTGGTGGCCCGGGTTCGGATCCCGGGCGCGCACCGACGCACTGCTTCTCTGGCCATGCTAAGGCTGCGTCCCACATACAGCAACTATAAGGAAGTGCGACTATGACATACAACTATCTACTGGGGCTTTGGGGAGAAAAAGGGGAAAAAAAAGGAGGAGGACTGGCAATAAATGTTAGCTTAGAAAAAAAAAAAAGATGCGATCTCTAGTTCTGATATA